CCCATCTCCTTCCTTTCCCCCCCAGGCAGCCCACATCCCTCCTGCACCCCCATATGCCCCTCTGCAGACCCCATCTAGCATGCACCCCTTCTTGCACCCCCACATTCCCCCCACCGCTCCCAATTTTTCCCTGCACCCCCATGTAAGTCACACCCCACATCTCTCCTGCACCCCACATGCAGCCTGTGCTCCCACACACTCACCTCCCTCCTTGTACCCCCACATTCACCCTGTACCCTAGTCACCCCCTTCCTTCATCTAATTCATGCCACCACATCCTCCTTGCACCCCTGTGTCCTCCTGTGTCCTGCTTTACCTCTAACTTGCACCCCCACACCCCCCCCGAACCCCATATCCAACTTACATCCTTCCCTGCTCCCTCACATGCTCTTGCACCCCTATATCCCTCTGGCACCCCACACCTAACCTGCATCCCCCTGCACCCCCACATCTTCTGCACCCCATCCAACCTCTGTTCCCTGCACCCCCTCTGAACTCATAGTCTCCCTGCATCTATTCCTGCATCCCTATCCAACCTGGCTCCCCTCTGCCTCTCTCTGCACCCCCACTGCCTCTGCAGCAATGCTGCACCCCTCCCTGCACCCCCATATCCCCTAGCTGCACCCCCCAATCTCCTGCCTCCCTGCTGCACCCCCTTCATGCCCCCTGCACTCCTTTCCATCCTGCAGTCCCCATTCCTCTTGCACCCTCTATGCCTGTGCACCCCCAGAACCTGACTGCCATCCGTCTCCCCATCCAACCCGCACCCATCCTACACCTCTAGTGCCCACCTGCTCCCCTGCATCCCTTCCTGTACCATCACATTCCCCAGCATCCTCTGCATCCCTGCGTGCCTCCTGCTCCGTTGCTGCACCCCCTGCTTCCATCTAGCACCCTCTATATCTGTCCTGTGTCCCCCTACATCCATGCTGTACCCAGCTGTATCCCTGCATGAACCCTGCATCCTCCTGCATCCACCCTGCACCCCTAGTGCCTCCACAACCATCATGCACCCCATCCATTCTGCAGCCCTCTGTATCCCTGCACCGCTTCTGCACCCCTCTGTATCCCTGCATGCATCCTGTCTTCTACCCTGCATCCTTCCTGCACGCTCCCTCCCATGCTGCACCCCTTCATCCCCTGCCTTGCACCCTCCACATCCATCCTGCACCCCAATGTGTGCCCCCTCATCCCCACTCATCTGCACCCCTGCTGCACGGCTGGACACAGGCACCCCCTGTATCCCCAGTTTCTCTTTGCACCCCAAACATCCATCCTGCACCTCTGCATCCCCCTGCACCCTCATATCACCTCTGTATCCTTTTCAGAGACCTCCTTGCCCCATGTCCTTGCTGTATGTCCTGCATCTCTGCCAAATCTCCACCCCTGCATCTCCCCTGCATCCCCCCGGACACCCCAACCCCTCTGGGCTCTCTGCACACTCCATGTCCCTCTGCACCCCCACATGCACCTCCTAGCCCCTGTATCCCACCTGCACCTCTGCACCGTCAGATAGGCCATGTCCCCTTGTACCCCAAATGCACCTCCTGCACTATGGGACACCCCTTGTACCCCCCATTATCTCCTGCACCACCAGCATCCCCATACCCCCGACACCCACCTTCCCCACATTCCTTCCACATCGCCCTCCCAAGTCTCCTGCACTTGCCTCACCACCAACCACCTCTGTACCCCCCTGCATCCCTCTGTACTGCCCTTCCCTATTCCCCTCTGCCCCTCCATGTCCCCAGTTCCCTTGCACCACCAGCCCTAGGCACTTGGCTGCCACCCGTGTCCCACTACATCCCTGCACTGCCACCATGGATGTCTGGGCACCTTCATGTCCCCCTGTGCCCCCCTGCACCATGGACCCCAGGCACCCACATCCCCTGTATTTCCCCATGCTGCCAGCTGCAGACACAGATAGTCCTGCAAGCCCCAACATCCTTCCCTCCCGTTCCCCAAATCCTCTCTGCACTCCTTCTGTCCTTGTTCTGCTGCTGCTGGACTCAGGCTGCTGGACGTACCCACAGACAGCCCCTGGCATGATCACCCCCAGCCCCAGGGCTGCCACGTGCATCCAGACATCTCTGTATCCCACTGCACCCCCAACACCCACCCCATATCCTCCTGGCGTCTTCCCACCGCTGGCCACCCTCTACCACCCCATAACTGTTACCCGTCCCATATTCCCCCCGCCAACTCCTGCTGCTTCCCCTCACTCCACCAGCCAGGGGCACCCAGACACCTCTGTGCCCCATATCCACCCCATAACTGTGCGGCCTGCGCACCACCCCTTGCTTACACAGGCACCCCAGACACCCCACGCGCTGCACCACTGGCGCAGGCACCTACAATTGCTGCAGCTGCTGTGCCCATTGCACGCACCCTGCTGGGCTGCACCGTGCTGAGCCCCTGCCCCATCCCCACTCCTACTCGGCCCCCGGCAGTGGGGACGTGAGCACGATGACGCTGTCCCCATTATGTAAAGTCTGGGGATCGATAGAGCAGGGGCTGGCAGAGGCCCAGGGGTGCTGGTGAGGACTCTGCACCCATGAGCCAAAGGGATATGGTGCTTCACACCAGGAGCTGGTGTTTCACCGTTGGGACATGGGTGTTTTGGGGCATGGTTGAGCCCAGTTGCCTGAGCCCCTCTGCATTAGCGGGGAGAATCGGGGCAGCCTGCAGGCGTTGAGGGCACTGCCATCCTCTGCTCTTCCAGGAACCGACCTGCCTGTATGTGCGAGCTGCGGCCACGGTATCTACGATGGGCAGTACCTCCAGGCCCTGAATGCAGACTGGCACGCCGACTGCTTCAGGTAGGAGCCTGGGCACCCGCCCCAGCGATTGCCAGCACCCCGCCCTGAGGGTGGCCACCTATGCAACCCTGCTGTCCGGAGCTGTCCCCTGGCCAGGCTGGGCCTGGCTCACGCAACGTGCACAGCATGCACGCGTTGTGCGGACAGGCTTCCCGGGCCGCCTGTGCACCCGTGTGTGTGGGTACATGCTTCCCAAGGTGTGTGTGTGCACGTTCAGCCACATGCACACGCAGGTGCAGGTGAAAATGCAGCCAAGCGTGCACGGACAAACGCACTCGGGGCCACATGGTCCTGCGTAAGCAGACGCACGTGGTGCGCAGCCAGGCTGGAGAAGCGTGCAAAGGCTTTGGCACTCCCGATCCCAGAAGGGCACATGTGATCCTGCAGATCCTGCTGAGGGGCAGAGGGGCACAAGCCCAGGCCAGAGCGCGTGTGTGCAGGGCTGTGGGCCCCTTCCTGAGGCCCAGGGGAGCCCTGCGGAGCCTCCGTGCGCTCAGCAGGTGGCACTGCTCCCTTGCCGCCTCCCTCTCCTTGCTCCTTTCTCTTTTCGGCCCTGGCTCTACCTCTCGGCTTTGCTCCGCTCCATCCTGCTGGCAGTCAGCCTCCAGAGAGGGTATGTGGAGCCTCCTGAGAGGTGGCACCAGGTTTGTGGTCTGGGGACAGGGCGAAGGTGCTCAGGATGCTGGAGCTCAGCCCTGCAGGGTGCTGGCTGTGCCCAGCATCGGTGCCTGAGGGATGCCCGGAGCATCTCAAGCGCTCTTTCAACGCAGTGAGTCTTGTGCTGGGACCTGGCCAGTGAGACCCTTTGAGCTTGGGGTACTGCTCGGCTCCTGGGGGTCCCCACATCTGCAGAGGAGCAGCGAGGGAAACGGGGCTGCTCGGTGCTGGGGCTGCCAGCTCTGCTGCACAGCTCCCAGCGCTCTGGCGGCCATTAATAGCAGCAGCAGCAGCTGGAGAGCCTGTGAGCGGGGCCATCTGCTCTTCATTAGCTGCCAGCCCGCTGAGCGGGGCTGGGGGAGCTGCGCTTCCCAGCCCTGGGGCTCCCCCGGGAAGGCAGGAGCATGCAGGCACGCGGGGTGCAAGACTGCACTGGATCCCCGAGGTGGACAGGGTGAGCTGCAGCACTGAGTGCGTTGGCCTGCCTGCATGGAAAGAGGTGCATGTGCATGTGCAAGGCTGCATGTGCAATCCATGCACGGCTGCATGCGCTGCTCTGCGCAGCCAGTACCGCTGGGGACATGCCAAGCTGTGTTTGTGCGAGGTGTCTTCGCGCAAGGCTGGCCCATTGCCCCGCAGCTGGGTGCACGGGAGGCCCTTCCCTTCCCATGGGCACTCAGGATGCAGATGACTGTGCAGGCAGATGCCGGTGAGGCTGCGTGCTATGCAAGGACAGCAGGATGCGGCGGGCACGGGGATGCGTCCGTCAGCGCTGGGCAAGGCTCTCCTGGGTGCGCTGCAGCCAGGCCAGCCCTGGTGGGGAGAGCCCTGCGGTGGGTGAGGCCGCAGCCCTGCTATCTGCGCAGAAGCACCATGCATAGCTCGGCTTCCTGCTTTCCCTTCCTGCCTTGGCTGTGGCGCCCCGGACGGGATGCGGCCGCCGCCTGGCGGGGGGG